CTCAGTGAGTGTGCAAGACCTTAAGAAACATTTTAATCTGCAAATAGCAAAATATAGTTTTTCATATGTAAGAACTGCCATTTTATAAGGGGCATATTGAAACTAACAGCCTGTTTGTATATCTGTATGTGTTTTGGCAAGTTTCTTGTACGTTTGAAGGTCATGTACTACAGCCTGCTGCTGGGCATTCATGATGTCTGGAGGGCAGAGCAAGAGGAAGCGGAAGAAATTAAAGACTCTTTAAGTGAAGAGGAGGAGGATTCAGAGAATGACCTATCCCTTATGGCTGTGGGGTCTTTCGGCACTTCCCCTGAGGGCATTGCAGGGTACATGAGCTCTTAGAGTTTGACCCTTATGTTGATGTGTATGCCATCCAGAGTGCAGTTGGTGAGTCACATTCCAGTCTTTACACTGTAAATAAGTTTAATAGGTCAGCATTATTTACATGTCAAGCTGTTCATGAAAACATTCAAATAAATAATGGATAATGATAATTAATGCAAACCGAATAAATACCATACTCAACTTTTCTATAGTCTTGAACCCATTAATCTTTTCATGAAGGTAATTATGAAGTGCTTTTAGTTTGTTGTTTTTTCATTCCTCCCCCCAAAAAGTATCCTTTACTAATTTAAATGCCTGCTGCTGGCTTTCAATGCAGATTCAGACTTATCAAAGTACATATGCTTTGAATTTGTTTAAATCCTTACATTCATTTTTTTATTCTTGTGTTTGTCTCTCCTTAATCTAGGTTGCCCACACAGAGAGGTATACTTCATGGGTCTCATAAACATTCTGAGCCAGTATGATACCAAGAAGAAAACAGCCCACGCAGCAAAAACAGTCAAGCATGGAGTAAGTGCCACTTTATGAATGGACAACTGAGGCTTTGTGTAGTTATTTGAATATGCTTTTTACAGTTTTATTGTAAAAAAGATTAAACCGAGCTGTAAATAATCTTATCGTTATAATTATTATAGGTATTACATGTTACAATTTTTTGGGTTCTGTTTTGCATTTTTCATTTAGCATTTTTTTTTTTCCAATTTAAAGGCTGGGGCTGAAATCTCTACAGTTCATCCTGAGCAGAATGCCAAACGGTTTCGAGAATTCATTGCAAACATCTTTGCCTAATTGAGAGCATTTTAAATATACTCTTCCAAATCTAGGTGGACAAAAAAAAACTTGATTTGGAGCTGGTGGTTTGTACAAATTCCTGATTGTTAAATTATTTGAAAAGCATTATTTAATTATTAAAATGTTTAGCATATATGAATGATAAAAATTGTCATAAAATCATGATCATGAAATTGTCATGAATTGTATTTTAAAACTCTGATTTGCAATAAAAATGTAATGATGCAAATATAACATTTGTACAATAAAACTGACTCCATGAAATGGATGTGCAGTCATAACTGTGAAAAATTACAACTTAAAATAGTTTAGACTGTGACATTTTAGTCTGTAGGGTTTTCAAATAGTGAATATGTTAATTATTTTTATGCATTTTCACAAAATAAATATGAAAGTTTATGTTTGTCATTTAACCCTTTTTTACTTTTTGATGTACTGTTCATATTATAGTCTTGAGTGTCCATCCAGTAAAATGGTTTTACTCTGTAGTTCCAAACTTTCACAAAACAAATCTGCCCTTAATACTGCACATTTTTCCAGTGCCTGATTTTCCCTTGTCATTAATAATTCTAGCTGTAAATGCTCTTTCTCTTTTGAAGCATATTTCGCCACTAGACACAACCCTTTTTTTTGTCTTAAGAGTTGAGGACTTCCATTTCATTCCATTCCATTCTTTAAAACGGAAATTAATTATTGATTAACCTAATTTTTCTTGCTCTCCCACTTATCATCTTTTCCCCAACTATTAGATAATTACAGGTCAATCTCTAAGCGTATGTTTTTGGCACAGTACTGGAGAGAGTGGTTCCCTCTCAGCTACAGAATCACTTTTTATGTCAGGCATTCATCCACTGTACAGCATTGAGATGCATTATTACAATATTTAACAAATATTGTTCTTAATGAGAATTCAATGTAACAACATAATTCAAGATAAAGGAGTCCGACACTGCCAAACTATTATTAGCCTTAAAGCAGGGTACACGCCCACTTGAGGGCTATATTCAAGAGTATCTGTCACAGCTATGGAGGCCGTTTGTGAGCTCTTAGCATGTCCTGTCACGGCTATGGAGGCCGTCTATGAACTCACTGCCTGTCCTGTCATGGCTATAGAGGACTGCCAGTCCACAACTCCCACATGTGCCTAATTCTGAATTATCAGTCTGTCCTGTTTCCCGCAATGAGCCTGATGTTAACTCTACTGTCTGTTCCGATCCCACTGTCAATACCAATTTAGTACTGTCAATCTATGAACATGTTATTTGCCCCATTAGTCCAGTCACAATCCCAGAAACCTTACCTGAACTCCCTGTAGGCTCTAGTAGCCTTGTCACAGCCCAAAAATCCTCATTTGAACTCTTAGTTCTGTCTGTCATGAACTCAAGGACTATAACTGCACTCCGTGTCTGTCTCTTTAACTCTGTCACTGCCATAGAGAACATTGATGAACTTCTTGTGTTCCCTGCCTTGGCCCCTGAAACCATGAATGCACTGCCTGCATTGTCTGTCTCTGTTTTCCCTAGTTCCCAGTCTCTGCCATGGGTCCGGGCTCCGTCTGCTCTGCCATGGTGGTCCAGTGTCTGGCTCTGGTGGTCCTCTGCTCCGCCGTGGTGGTCTACTGACTGGCTCTGGTGGTCTTCTGCTCCTATATTAATAATAATACACAATTATTGGTACCCTTGGAAATTCTTCTGATGAAAATATCTCTGAAGTATATTCCCATTCATATTTGCATTTTTTACAGGAGGTTCCTAGTCACCCTCGTGTGATTTAAAAAAAAAAAATTTACATTTCTTTGTACATTTATTTATTTATTTATAATTATGTCAGGGATGGCATTCCATACTGTTTCACAGGACTATGAGGGAACACAAAAGCCAGATTATCTTAATCGTTGATCACGATAAGTAAAATCAACGAATATATTTCTGATGATTGTTGAACTTCATAAATTAGAAAATGGCTATAAGAAAAGCGCTAAAGCATTAAAAATTCCCATTTCCACCATCAGGGCAAAAATTTCCAATCAACAGAAAATGTTACAAATCTGCCTGGAAGAGGATGTGGGTCTATTCTGTCTTAAAGCAAGTCGAGGAGGATCGTTTGAATGGCCAAAGACTCTCCAAGGATCACAGAGGACTGCAGAAAATAGTTGTTTATTTTTGTTTGTTCAAAAAAATTAAAAACATTTAACATGTCTCCACAAAGACCAAGAGCAACAAGGAAATGTACCAAGCTGTTGATTAACAATATGATTAACAGGGCAGTATATTTTATAATAATGAGGGTGTCATTTAATTTTCGTTCATACATTTCTCTCTCTGTCCCATGCATCCCACAACTCCACTGACTCCTTAACCTCTGCTTTACTGATATTAATTTGCGTTCCATATGCTAATTAGTGAAAACACTCAATAATGAACTTGAATGAACACACTTAGTTATGCCCTCCATGGTTTGAGCATGCAACTCAACCATCTTGAGCAAGAGCAGAAGAGCCATGGAGCACAAAAAAACTTCAAAAGTTCTTTATAATCTAAAATAATTCCTTTCACTTTATTTGATCCGATTTTATTCTTCTTCTGCTTCTTCTGCCCTAAAAGAATCTTCTTGACCAAAAAGCACTGAGACCTCAACATTTTTATGTCTCACAGATATTTAGCAAGAGCAGAGAGATTTTACTGACACCAGGTGGTGCTATAGCATGTGAATTTAGTTTGCTGATTTAAAATTTTCCCATTTCTGCCTCAATTCTTGGCTGTTTTTCTGATTTTCACAAAAACTGGCATAGAGACTCTCCAGAAGGAAAACGAAAGAAAGACATTTGTCAAATCATCCCAAAAAAACATAAATAAATAAATAAAATAAAATAAACCAGGAATGTTCAATCCTGCTTCTGCAGGGCCACTGTCCTGCAGTCAGCTCCAACCCTAATTAAACACACCTAAACCAGACAAGCAAGTCTTCAAAAAACTTTCAGGCAGATGTGTTGGCACAGGTTGGAGTTAAACGCAGGACTTTGACCCTCGTGACTGACCCATTTACTTTTTACTGCACTTTTTTATGTGCTTTTGCTAAGCTGACATATTTGAATGCATTAACAACAAACAAAACAACAACGACTAGGCCTACAGTCATATAGGGTAAAATAATGATCAAATAATTTCGCAATTTTAGACCAGTAATGCAGATTTTAAAATAATCAAAAACTGACTGGAATTTCTGGTGGAATGACCTGCCCAACCTGATCCAAACAGCTGAGTCTTTAGCCATCTTCAAGAAACAGCTAAGACACATCTCTTCCATCTACACTTGACACTCTAATAATCTATTTCTATTCTATTCTATTCTACTTGTTTTCTTTTTACTTATTAAAAAAACTTGACCCTCTAAAACTAATAGGCCTACTCTCGATTCTATCTCTAATCTATCTCCTTTTTTTCTTTTTTATTTATTAAAAAAATGACCCGCTAAAACTAGTATTCCCTATTCTTTTTCTTTTTCGATTTTCTTTCTTATAACTTTGCATTGTTCTATTTATTTATTTATTCTACACTATAGCCTCCTGCTTAAAAAAAAAAGTAAAATCTTATTAAATTGAATAATTATTTTGATACCAACCTCTTCTCTTACTCGGCACTTCTTATTTTTTTACTCTTGACTTTCAAATACTCTGCCAAATAATAAATAGCCTAAATAAAATAAAAATAATATGAACATGAAAAACAAAAGTACACACACATCAGCAATTAATTTATGATGACATTTACTACATTTACTGAAGAACATTAACTAGCTTTACAACAGATTCAGGAGTATATAAAGAGTAATAAAGGCCCTGGAGTGAACTTCAGTATCCAGGTTCTCTGATTATTCACATGCATAATTCATGAGGCGATTGTCCACTGTTGGCGCGTCCCCGCTGCCGAGCAACAAGATGGCGGCCGCCGCCGGATCAGGTAAATTTATGAAAAACTGCCTTTGTATTAGATCGTTTCTTTCTTTCGTATCCAAAACGAGTGTTATGAAATGTTAAAACGCGGAAGAAATATACTTTCATTGAAGTATTCGCTCGTGTTGCTGTGTTTAGAGTCTCAGTATTGATGTGGGTGTGTTTGCACAGCATTAGCCTGTCAAATCAGTGACATTTCTCGCGTTTAATGTCGATGGTGCTTATGTTTGAGTCTGTCTTAAATAGTTTAAGATCCATATACATCGCTCCTAATGTGTATGGATTAAAGTACAACGGGGTTTTAATATAATCTGACTATTCAATTGGTTAGCCATGTAGCTTATTCAACTGCAGCGTCATGATAGAGAAACAACACAATACACTGGCCGTGTGTCTCAAAACCTTGTGGCTGCCTAGCTAGACTGCAGTTTTGTGCACCACAGGCGCGTTCCGTGTCCGTGAACTTCGTTAATGATTTAAACATGCTTTCTTTGTTGGCAGTTCGTTAGGTTTAAGAATATGTTTGCCAAGATGCCGTATAGGTAGGCAGCTCGCAAATTTAAGACACGGCCATTGACTTTAGTGATGTTACAAACCCTAACATTTCATAATGTCTTCCATTTAAACACAATAACTAACATTAATAATGTACATTTAGTCTTACTATTTTATCATTTATTCATTTCCATTCCTTAACTAAAGCCCACTTCTGTTGAAATATATTAAAAAACAAAACATGACTTTTCCACATTGTATGCACGTGCTTGTTATTGTTAATTTACCCTTTTTGGTAAATTTCATTTTCATATCATTTTCTCTTGTGTTATGCAGGAAGTAAAAATGCCATTAATTTTCTTAATTCATAGTGGATGTGATTTTCAATGATAATTTATAAACGTTTAAAACATACCAGCTGTGAGCTACAAGGTATGTTAATTGATGCTATATGTTTATGTTGAAGCCATTAGTATGCATTTTTAAATAACTATGTTTAACAGTGGTATTTCCTGTGAAAAACAATGTGATACTGCAAAGAAATCTCCACCAATCTCTTATTGATCCAGTCTTTTAATCGATACAAGTAAATTGCACCAAAATGTATATAAAGCTAATGACATAATAGATTCAGTCTCCTCATGCTGACACACTATTTAAATAATATTTGTGTGTGCATATTTTGCAATAAATGTAACATATATTGTTTCTATATACAGTCAACATCTTTAAATCAATAGTTTTATAAATATGCATTGTTTTTAATTTGATTGTCATTTGCAAGTCTTGTACCTTTGTCTTTTTGTCCAGTTTTTAAATATTTAGGCCTAGTGCTTGAAATCAAAGCATTTTTCACAGTTGTCTTTCTCTCCCTTTCTCCTGCTAGAGAACTGTTTCCCCACTCTGTGGTGTCGGTTTTGAACATTATTCCAGCAGCAAATTTTTGTTTTCACAGGCGTGAAAGTCCCCCGTAACTTCCGGCTGCTGGAGGAGCTTGAGGAGGGTCAGAAGGGTGTTGGAGATGGGACGGTGAGCTGGGGTTTGGAAGACGATGAAGACATGACCCTCACACGCTGGAGAGGAATGATCATCGGACCCCCTAGGGTCAGTTCAACTGGCCTACTTGGCTCTATTGAATTAATATGTTAAGATACATATTCTTGTGCATGAGTAAAACTATAATTTTTTTCCCACATGTTCCTACTCAGAAAGTCTGTTTATTCCGTTAGAAACACTCTGCATGTTTCTGAAAAGAACCAAATGCCAATAACAATATCGGAGTGTCTATTTACACTAAGTGCAAATAGCCCACCTTGTTGGCAGAGGCTATTTACACTAGCTCCGCCCACCAACGTCTGATTGGAATAGTCAACACTGCAGAAAGACGCTCATTAAATATCAGTTTCAGTGGCGTAGATGGTAAGGCGCACACTTTTTGACGCGATCGACCCGAGTTCGAACCCGCCTTTTGCTGAACTATTTTTCTCCCTTTTCAATGCGATCTCATATCGCATCGGAAAGGCATTTATTTTCAATAAAAATTAAGGAAATAATCAAAAAGTTGAAAATAAAGTATCGGGTAGGTTTAGGGTAGGTGTAGGGAGGTCTTTATTGTCCCAATAAGGTGGCATCTATTTAATAATTTAAATTTAAATTATAATTTACACTCAATACATTATTACTGCGTACTGTTTTATAATGTACTACAATACTGAGGTGCAGATAATTGCTACTATTTGCAATAAGTAGTATAAATAGCAGAAAATCTTGCTGTTTTAACATAGTGTAAATATAATCCATTGCTATTTGCACTGTGTAAATAGTATCTATCACTAAGAAAATATGCTATTTGCACTAAGTTAGCACGATTACAAATGTTTATTGAACTGTTTTATAAAATCCATATCACATTAATTTAATTGTATCCTGTAGGGCTATACAGGTGCATCTGAATAAATTAGAATGTCGTGGAAGGTGTGACCTCGGCATCCTGGCCAAATTTGCCCATTGGCCTCTGACCATCATGGCCTCCTAACAATCCCCACATCTGCTGATTGGCTTCATCACTCTGTCTCCTCTCCACCAGTAAGCTGGTGTGTGTTCTAGCGCACTATGGCTGCCGTTGCATCATCCAGGTGGATGCTGCACACTGGTGGTGGATAAGGAGATCCCTCTCACAATGTAGAGCACTTTGCGTGCCTAGAAAAGCACTATGTAAATGTAATTAATTAATTTATCATTTAGAAATAATTTGCTATTTCTCTGTTTGAACACTCTGTTTAAACGTGTGTGTGCCTCCTTTAAAACTATCATTTATATCCTTGCTGCTGTGATTGGCTTACATCTTTGCATGTTTATCACTGAACCATATTTGGTAACACTTTAGGATAGGGACCAATTTTCTCTATTAACTAGGTACTTATTATGCCTGTTAGTAACATGGGCTTATTATTAGTGCTTATAAAGCACATATTCTGCATGAGCATATTCTACATCCCTAATCCTACCCAATGCCTAAACTTAACAACTACCGTACGAACTATTAATAAGCAGCAAATTACAAGATTGAGGTAAAAGTCGTAGTTAATGGTTTGTTAATGGAAAGAATTGGACCTTAAAATAGTATGACTCCATATTCTGACTGATGTCTTGAACTCCACTCTTTACTTTTCAGTAAGGTAAAGACTCTTGTGAAAAGGTTTTTAATGAGGTGAAGTTTTTTTTTCTCGGTTTTTAATGAAGTAAAGGATAGGTTTTAGAGTGATCACAGTCACATTTTAAAAACCTCTTTTAAAGTCTGTATCTATATTTTTTTTCTTTCCATGAATTATAGCCATGGTAGCTGGCATGGCATTAAACTATAAACAAACAAGCGTCTTTGCCTATTAAATCATATTTATACATGTGGAACTGTTGAAATTATTTAGTTAATTATAATAATCATATTATATTATATTATATTATATTAAATTATGTAGATGAATATATTAGGACTGCCCCTGACCAGAGGTGGACAGTAGTGAAGTATTTTTACTTTACTCAAGTAAATTTAACAAATGTGCAATTAAATTGCAGTTCCTTATGAAAATGTTAACGATTCCAGAGGGGGTTACATCTGAATATTTTCACACAGAGATATGACTGATTTCTCTCCAGAGGTGGACAGTAGTGAAGTATTTTTACTTTATTCAAGTAAATTTAAAAAAGTATCTGTACTTTAACAGAGTGTTTTTCCTTTGGAAAACTTTTACTTCACTACATTCCAAAGCATAATGTCGTACTTTTTACTGCACTACATTTCATAAATAAAAGTGTTGTTGTTGTTTACCTTTAATACTTAAGAACATTTAAAATGTAGTACTTTCTTGTACTCAAGTAAAACTTTTAATTACTTTTACTTGAGTAAAAGTAAGAACGTACCAGATTTCTAATGTAATTAAGTATTAAATTAAATTTCTGTCAGGACCACTATCGTCAAAATGAT